ATCTGGGTTACAGCACAATTATTTGAAACTTTTGCGCCAAATTGTAATTTTTAAAACACAGGGAATATTCTGTTATGTGAAGGAATATTTTGTTAAGTCAGGGAACATTCTGTCCATATGCAGAATATTTCGTCAATGATGACTGTGACGATGACGTGACGATCTTGTTGACGTGGCATGACTGGATTGGTCCTTGCTGATGATATGGCGTTGACTTCTCTTTATCCCAAAAAATGAATTTAAGTAATGTTGGTGAAGGGGTTTGAACCCCTAACCTAAGACTCCACACCCAACACCTTAACCACTCTGCCAAAGCTTTGCCTTGTGTTATATTTTTCCACAAATAATATTTGACCATTTCAAACCAGCAAGCAAAGAAGGTGTATTTTTTGCATTTTTTTCTTGTGTGGGACACTTCCCTACCCCATTGGCCGACCCATATATCACCAAATACATACCTAATCATCCCTCATTGTCAAAAAGAGATTTTGTTTGCATCCATAAAGGAGTATTCCATGCAACCACCTTGAAAATTTACCCTCCTATCACATTCTTGTCTCCCACCTTCATTTTGACCTTCACTCTCCCTCATTGCCTATATAGAATGATCATATTGTAAGAGAGAGGGAGGACCAAAAAATTGAAGAGAAAATAGTGAGAAAAGGATGAAAAAAATTAAGTTTTTGAGCTAAAAATACTCTTATCTTCCATATATACCGCATACATTCCATACAAACTAAAATTCCATCTTTCCTACACACAAAACTCCTCCAAAAATTCTAAAATAGCTAAATTTTAGTAGTGATTGATCAAAGGAAAGAGTGAGTGTTGTTGAAAGTGAGAAAAAATAAGAGAGTTAGACACTTTTCCACCATACATACCAAGAGTTCCATTCTAGTTTCAAATTGAGGATTAAAAACACACTTCCTAAACTTGAGGGTGAGCAAAAAGAAGTTTGGAAATCAAGAAGTTCAATCTTTCTTTGGAAAGTGAATTTCTAGTCTTTTATTTTCTTATATTTTCTATCTCATATTTATTTTATTGCTTCTTATTTCATAGTGTTTTGTTATAATCCAAGTGGTTTGTTTATCTCATATTTTTTTTTCTTGCTTCTTATTTCATAGTGTTTTGTTATAATCCAAATGGTTTGTTTATCTCATATTTATTTTCTTACTTTATATTTCATAGTGTTTTGTTATAATTCAAGTGATTTATTTATCTCATATTTGTTTGTTTGCTCTTATTTCATAGTAGTTGTGCTGTAAGCTAACCGGTAGTGGTTAGTTGAGCCAACTACATATTTCTTGTTCGTTCCTTTTCTTGGTTTCGCAACAAGACAGGTTTTGCTCGGCCTAGTTGGCTGGCTGGCCTATTTGGCCAGTCGGTTAGCTTCTTTCGGACAAGATGGCGTAATCTTCCAATGTTGACCGATTTCCACCGACGGTTCCAAGGAACATGAAGCTTTTGTTTATCTTTATTTTGAGTGTTTTGCGAGGTTTTATTTTGATGTAATATTCTCCTCATCCCTCTCTAACTTGGTTTGTAATTATTCTTTTAAGTGTTATAATAATTCCCCGCCCCGCTTCTTTCTATCTCGTTCTTTTACTAGCTTTCTTTATCTGTGAATATGCATCATATTTTGTCTTTCATTATATCCATACTTTGCATCCATGTTTCATGCATTTTGATTCGGCTAATTTTGCATTTATGGATTTAACTAATTCCTATGTGATTATGTGCGTTACCTCATGTTCTTGAGATGATTCACATGTCATATCTTACAAGCCGAATCTTTAGTTACATCTCATGAGTGAATTGTATTAGAATTTTGTATATAAGATCATGCATGTTTTACTAACTTTATTTTGTAGCTTGTTCATGGGACGTCGAACATGTAAGTTTTTATGTTTTAGCATCCCGTTTGTGTGTGTTTTTCTTACTATGTTTAGCATTCTACCATGAGGCTATTTGCTTATGTGATATAACTCTATGAATGCCAATGGATAGAGGTTGTGTCATTTAATTTGGAATGATGTTGATTTTCATGTTTGTAAACTCAATTTATTTGGGTTATACATCTTCAAAACTCTTTCAAAACTACATGAAATCAAGTTGTTCCAAAGTGGGTGACATAGTCTATACTTGTATGCTTCAGATAGTAATTTTTTTAAGATTTGTTAAATAATCGGAATATGAACATAGAAAGTAAACAAAATTCATATCATAGTTTAGTAAAGGCCAATCTTTTGATCAAGTGAGCAGGTGTGCTCAATTAATGACCTTCCCCTCTCATACCTAAGGTTCGGAACCGATACAACTTTGATTATGATGAACAATGGCCTTGGCACAAGTCATGGGTTTTCTAATTTTCCAAAATATTAGGTAGCGGCTCTGAGATCTAATGACGCACTCCATTTCTAGCAAAAGGTTTTACAATAAAATGAATTTTCTAAAAGTTGTCAAATCTGGACTCTCATCTATGTTTCGCATTGCACTAGTGAGACTAGATCAAAGAGATTGAGGGTCCGAACTGTTTAACGCGCGCTGGTACTCCCCAGGCATATTACAATATGTCATACAAAATTATTATCTGATAATTATACTTTTATAATGCGATAGAGCTAAAATTATCAAAATACATAAATAATTTAACTAAAATTAATATATATATATATATATATATATATAAGTATTCAAGTAACAATTTTATAGAACAACAGTGCCAATATTATCAAAATAAATAATAAAAATCATGCTTCAATTCCAAGTTTAATTTAAAATTAAAATTACAATTAAAATTAGGGTAAATTATACAGACACCTTCTAAGATTTTTGTTTAATACAGATCCCCCTCACGTTTGAAAAATTACACTTACCCTCCTGTCAGATTAAAATGACATATTTGCCCCCTTAGCCGTTATACTTATAAAATACTAAAATAATGCTGATATTTTGTTCATGTTATTTCAAGAAAAATAACAATCATCTTTTTTGGTTTAACTTACACAAAAAAATTATTTTTCGTATTTTTTTTATGAATTTGTTTTTAATATTTTAAGCAATTTTTATTTTTATTTTTTAGATAGACCTAATGTAGATATACTTAAGAAGTATAATATTTTGTGTTTTTTTTTTTAAATTCACCAAATACAAAAAAAAATGTGTAATAAAAAAAATCAGTAATATTGTAATAAATGTGAATAACTGTGTTTGGTAATATTGTAATAAATGTGGGTGAATAGATGAGAAAGAAAAATGATGGTGAAAATAAAAATAAAAAATTCTATTCATATATAAAAATTTATACAAAAAATATCATAAAAATGTTATGATAGTGATGTTGTTGTAAATATAAATCATATTTATGAGTGTTTTGTTTTAAAGTAAAATGTCACCATTAAGTTATATCATTGTGTTTGAAAATTTTATATAAAATTTATGTTTATATATCATCACTCAATAAGAATATATTCAGGTAGAATTTAATGATAGAAAGTTGTAGAATATAGTCATGATGATAGAAAGAAGAAATGTTAGGAAAAGAGACAAAATGGTCATTTAAAAAATTTTAGGGCATGACATCAGCAATTCAGGGGGTAATTTACAATGAGACTACAAACCTTACGGGGGGAATGTAATTTTTCAAATGTCATGGGGGATCTGTATTAAACAGAAATCTCATGGGGTGTCAGTGTAATTTACCCTTAAAATTATGCTTTTATAACACATAATGTACAACAAATATTTTTTTAAAAAAAATAACACGTGCATTACACGGGTCAACTGCTAATATAATATTATAATATTATTAATTTATTTATACTTTAATAAATTGAAATTGAATTGTAAAATTTGATCATCATTTATCACAAATAAATAAATAAATAAAATAAACACATGAAGCCCTGGTTTGGTTATCATTTTGGTTCTAAAAAAGCACAAAATGACAAAATAGACTAAATAAGTTAATAAGACAAAATATCACATCCAACCCATAATCATTATATTTTTTTTCTCACAATAGTGAAAAAAACCCAAAAACAAAAACCAAACGAAACTAAAAAAACCAGCCTAAAAATGTCCCAACACAAAAAAATTGGCTATATTTGCCAATGTTAAACGAAGCTGAACTATCTCAACGTGGGATTAAATAGACCAACATGATTTTTAATTCATGACCCCAAAATTTAGCGTCAATTTTTTTCAAAAGTTAGCTCTAAAGAGTAAAAGTGAACATTTTGGTTTCTCCAGCTCATGCAAAATCAATGATAATTTTTGTGTTTTTTTTTTTTTGTTTTGTTTTTTTAATGTTACAAAACTGGAGCACTTATGTTTTTTTGATTCCTTCACTTTTACTTATAACATATAATCTCTTATACTTTAAATTAAGTTGTAATATTACAATTTTGTCCATCTACCATTAGTGATGTTGATAAAAATTAAAAGTGAAAGGACCAAACTGAAATTTTAGTGAAAGTACAAAGATTAAAGTGATTTTGATAAAATTGTAGGGGGCACTAGTGAAATGAAAAAACAAAAATATCACGTTTAACTCACATAACAAGTTCAACTTTATTAACAATAAATTGATAGAAGAGTGACATTACAACTTAACTTAAAATGTAGAGAGTTAACTGTTATAATTAAAAGTGAAGAGACCAAAGTGAGAATATAATGAAAATGCAAGAGTGTTAGTATAACTAACCCTTGTTTTTTAATTAATTAATTAATTTACTTTTTTTCTTCAGTAAAATTTCTTCCACCACCAGATAACCAACTGGAAGATATATATAATTCTCACAGTAACTTTTATTTTTTTTTTAAACCTATTGTTCACCAATTTCTCTTTCACAATGCATGCGATGTCAAACTGTTGATTCTAATGAAGGCTAAAACTGCCCAGTTCAAGAATGAATTTACACACCAAAAAAAAAAAATTTAAATTTCTAGTAAAAAACAATGAAATTTTCAGTAAAAAGTCCAAAGCTTGGAGAAAGGAATTAGAAACTGAGGCCAAGTTGAAGTCCAAGAGCAGCATGGACAAGAAAGAGTGGATCCTTCAATGCAAGTGTCATGATCCCACTACCCAAGATCCCATGCACATTCCACAATCCGGGATTTCCCTGCATCGGATCAAAATTTAACAGACACGTGTAAGGCTGTGTTTGAAACTTGAATTTGTAAAAAAATTTGTTGGTAGAAAAACTAATATAAATTTAACTTCTACTTCATTTCTCTTTTTCCCTTTTTTTTTTTTTTTTTTTCTTTTCCCCTCCACAAATCACTCTAACAAATCCAAAGTGTCAAACACAGTCCAAATCAACAACAAAAACAATCATTGAAAAAAGAAATTCAATTTTCTGCTTTAATAATTTATTTATTTTTTTCAATGAGAAAGTTTGTAATATATTCAGAAGTGAAAAGGGTCATTGAAACATTTCTTTACCTCAAACAATGATGGCAATATGGTCTGTATAGTCAAGAGAGTAAGGCCAATCAAACCTGTCACAGCATGAGGGCTACAAACAAAAGATTTCAAATCAGAATGTCCAAAAGCAGAACTGAAGATTTAAAATCAGAATGTCCAATTGAAATAGAACATTGCTTTTGAAATCTAATTCATAAGTATTTAGATTTGTCATATATACCTCTCAAAGATAGGCTTATCTGAAGTCAGAAGAGCTGTTATTCCACCTGTAGCTCCTAATGCCAAGAAGAAAAACATTTCCCCTAGAAGTTTTGGGTGCAAGTCCTTGGCATTGGCTTTCTCCTCCTGCAAACCGTAAAATTCTATCTGGGTAAGTCTGAAGATTACTTGAAAGCACGGCATTTCATGTCATGTAATTCGATTGTCTTACCACATCATCAGAAAACCGTATTCGGAAACCAAGATAAGTTCCATAACCGCCCATAGTGAAAAGCACGACACAGCCTGCAACATCACAACATGAGATAGTCCAATCAATCAAGATGAAGGTGCTGACTCCAATTAAGTAGTTCCATTATGAGATTAATAGTCACTAAAAACTATTGGCACATGCGATACGTGTGTCAATCCCTAAATATGCTCTATTTGAGAAGTCAAGCAATTACAAGAAAAAGTTGAGCAATTATTTGATCAGCTCCTCATCCTCTCCTCCTCAACCTGCATGATAGTCTCTAGATGGGTCGCTACCTCCACAAGGCGGCCATAATCTCTAATCATGGATCCGACCACTTGAAACCTAAGTCCAGTCCTCAACCTCTTCTCGAACTCCAAACAACAGCGCTTCTCAGTCGCCACTAACTCAGGTGCAAATCTAGAGAGGCTAGTGAAAGTGGCCTCAAACTCGGCTTCAGGTGTGTTCAACTGCTTGAGGTGAGAAAACTAATCCCTTAACTTCTCCCTAACAATGGGAGGTAAGTACTTGTCCTGGAAGGCGTCAACGAAAGCCTCCCAAGTCCCTCCAATGCATCCCCTCGCATACTTCCACCATTGACCCGCGTCTCCCTTCAACTGGAAGGACGCCAAGGTCACTCTCAATCCCCCCATCTTCGATGCCAAGCATCTCAAGCGTTTTCACCATCTGTTCCAACCATTCATCTGCCTTCAGTGGTTCCTTTGGATCACCCAAAAACTCATCCGAGTTTGATCGGAAAAACTCCCTCTTCAGAAAAGAAGGCCCTGCCTCAGCTACTTGGGCCTGGACTTGATTCTCAGCTCTGAGAATGTTCATTGATTCCCTCAATGCTCCGGCCATTTCACGGGCTAAGGCGCCCATGGCCTGCTGACCTGCTGGTTCGGCCGCGTTGGCCTAACCAATCCCTTCCTCTTGTGCTGGAATCTCATCCGGTATAGGCACCTCGTGCATCCTAGGCCTAGCACGCCTACCTCTACGACTACGTCCTGACATCCTAATAAAGGTAACATAAGAAATTAGTACATCCACAAATGTGCCGAAGCTAATTCACTCGCATCCTAATACATTGGACAATAGTAATTCACTCCACATAAGCATGTAATCACGTAAACACATACGAATTTCATCTCTGAATAACGACCGTTCCGCGGCGTTGCTAGAGTTCCAATTAGAAATAACAGTGATCAAGTGCCTTTCTAACAGGACTCCTAAAAACCCGTAGACCCAATCAACATCCAAGAAATTTAATCCCATACCCAAATAATCACATAAGCATGTTGTCATATAAGCATATATTGTTCACACTTTAGTCTCTAGCAAGTGAGACAAACCCATTGTGGTACTAACCACTTCCCACGTACCCAAAGTATTCAAATCCGATACGCTCTGATACCAAGTTGTAAATAAAAATAAAAATAAAAAATTCTATTCATATATAAAACTTTATACAAAAAAAAAAAAAAAATTATGATAGTGATGTTGTAAATATAAATCATATTTATGATTGTTTTGTTTTAAAGTGAAATGTCACCATTAAACTATATCATTGTGTTTAAAAATTTTATATAAAATTTATATTTATATATCATCACTCAATATGTTCAAGTAGAATTTAATGATAAAAAGTTATACAATATAGTCATGATGATAGAAAGAAGATAAATGGTCGGAAAAGAGGCAAAATGGTCATTTAAAAAATTTTATGACATGACATCAGCAATTCAGGGGACAATTTGCAATGAGATTACAAATGTGAAGGGGGAATTTGTATTAAATAGAAACCTCAAGGGGTGTCAGTGTAATTTACCCTTAAAATTATGCTTTTATAACATATTATACCATCAAAAATATATATTTTAAAAAAAAAAAAAAAATACGTGCGTTGCATGGGTCAACTGCTACTATAATATTATAACATTATTAATTTATTTATACTTTAATAAATTGAAATTGAATTGTAAAATTTGATCATCATTTGTCACAAATAAATAAATAAAAAATAAACACATGAACTATCTCAACGTGGGATTAAATAGTCCAACATGAATTCTAATTCACGACTCCAAAATTTAGCGTCAATTCTTTTCAAAACTTATTGTCTAAAGAGTAAAATTGAACATTTTGGTTTCTCCAGCTCATGCCAAATCCATGATAATTTTTGTTTTGTTTTATTTCGTTTTGTTTTGTTTTGTTTTTAATGTTACAAAACTGGAGCACTTTTGTTTTTTTGATTCCTTCACTCTTAATTATAACATTTAATCTTTTATACTTAATTTGTAATATCATAATTTTGTCCATCTACCATTAGTGATGTTGATAAAAATTAAAAGTGAAAGGACCAAACTCAAATTTTAGTGAAAGTACAAGGACTAAAGTGCGATTTTGATAAAAGTGTAGGTACACTAGTGAAATGCAAAAAATAAAAAAAAAATATCACGTTTAACTCACATGAAAAGTTCAACTTTATTAACAATAGATTGATAGAAAAGTGACAATACAACTTAACTTAAAATCAAGGTTGTTAAAATCGGGATCCTACGTCGGATCGTTGGAGGTATTTATAGGATCGGATCGTACAACAAAATAGTTCATACAATACAAAACAAGGCTTGTAAATTGAATCGGATAGGATCGGATAGGATCGGATTCGGATCGGGATTCCACGATCCTATAAGATCCCACTACTAGGATCGAAAGATCCTACCTATAAGGAGTTTTTCATACGATCCGGATCGATTGTACTCAAATGGATCGTAAGATCGTAGGATTGTAAGATCCGGATCGGGATTCTGATAACCATGCTTAAAATGTAGAGAGCTAACTGTCATAATTAAAAGTGAAGAGATTAAAGTGAGATTACAGTGAAAATGCAAGAGTGTTAGTGTAACTAATCCTTGTTTTTTAATTGATTAATTAAAATTTTTTTTTTCCTTCAGTAAAATTTCTTCCACCACCAGATAACCAACTGGAAGATATATATAATTCTCACAGTAACTTTTTTTTTTTTTTAAACCTATTGTTCACCAATTTCTCTTTCCCAATGCATGCAATGTCAAAACTGTTGATTCTAATGAAGGCTAAACTGCCCAGTTCAAGAATGAATTTACACACACACACACACACACAAAATGAAATTTCTAGTAAAAAGTCCTAAGCTTGGAGAAAGGAATTCGAAACTGAGGCCAAGTTGAAGTCCAAGAGCTACCCAAGATCCCATGCACATTCCGCAATCCGGGATTTCCCTGCATCAAGTCAGAATTTAACAGACGTGTAAGGCTGTGTTTGAATCTTGAATTTGTAAAAAAATTTGTTGATAGAAAAACTAATATAAATTTAACTTCTACTTCATTTCTCTTTTTTTTTTTTTCCCTTTCCCCTCCACAAATCAAATCCAAAGTGTCAAACACAGTCCAAATCAACAACAAAAACAATCATAGAAAAAAGAAATTCAATTTTCTGCTTTACTTATTTATTTATTTTTCAATGAGAGTTTGTAATATATTCAGAAGTGAAAAGGGTTATGGAAACATTTCTTTACCTCAAACAATGATGGCAATATGGTCTGTATAGTCAAGAGAGTAAGGCCAATCAAGCCTGTCACAGCATGAGGGCTGCAAACAAAAGATTTAAAATCAGAATGTCAAAAGCAGAACTGAAGATTTAAAATCAGAATGTCCAATTGAAATAGAACATTGCTTTTGAAATTTAATTTATAAGTATTTAGATTTGTCATATACCTCTCAAAGATAGGTTTATCTGAAGTCAGAAGAGCTGTTATTCCAGCGGTAGTTCCTAATGCGAAGAAGAAAAACATTCCCCCTAGAAGTTTTGGGCGCAAGTCCTTGGCATTGGCTTTCTCCTCCTGCAAACCATAAAATTTTATCTGGGTAAGTCAGAAGAATACTCGAAAGCACGGCATTTCATGTCATGTAATTCGATTATCTTACCACATCATTAGAAAACTGTATTCGGAAACCAAGATAAGTTCCATAACTGCCCATAGCGAAAAGCACGACAGCCTGCAACATCGCAACATGAGATAGTTCAATCAATCAAGATGAAGGTGCTGACTCCAATTAAGTAGTTCCATTATGAGATTAATAGTCACTAAAAACTGTTGGCACATGCGATGCGTGTGTCAATCCCTAAATATGCTCTATTTGAGAAGTCAAGAGCAATTACCAGAAAAAGTTGAACAGTTATTTGATCAGACGGGATAGTTTAGACATATTAAAAAACGTTACACAGTTTTGTTTACACAAACTGAAGTGTTGACATTATATATTAGTATAGATGACAAAAGACGAAAGAAAAAAGGGGAAGTTTACCATGTCACCAGGGTGACCCCAATGAACAAGCCAGTCTGGAAGACTCCATGATTTAACAAGCTCGACAAATGGCCCGAACAGAGATGTTCCAGCTGATATTTCATATGTTCAATCCTAATATAATGACTATTTAAAGGAAGAACAAAAGAAGAAAGAAAAGCGATATGAGTCTATGGCAATTCCCAAATTCAGACATGACTTGTATAGTGGGAGGTTAAGGATTGGACTGAAAGTAATTTTTCAAACCAAATAATTAGAAATGCACAAACAGAGCCCAAGAAAAATATAGCTCAAATAATTTCTATTATGGAATGCTTGTTAACTAACAAAAGTATATCATATCTAGAATTTTAGTATTCAAATTATAAGCATGCTTGAGTAATGGTACACAAATAAAAAATTCATACAAAATTTCAGTACATAATGATGTTGTTTAATGTAGATCATTCACTTTAAAACAATGCACTCACAAAGAAGACATCTTATCAAAATAAGATTACCACATCATTCTTATAATATTTTTTGTATGAATTTTATATATGAATAACATTTTTCTTTTGGTTTTCTTGTTTTCAGTAACAAAAACAATAAAAATTGTGCAAAAGAGTTTAGAAAATTTCAAATGTAACTTTCCATTTTTTTTGTTGGTGGAACACTGATTTCCTAGTGAGGTGGTATACATGAATCCAGGGGTTGAGAATGTACAAAACTTTCACACACAAACACACATATGAAGGTACATATATGATGATAATATATTTACCTCCAGGAAGAGCAGCCACAAAAAGCAAAGGCAAAGGAGTGAAGGCATACAATAGAGTCTCACTGGGCTCTACTTCAACTTCCTCCTCTTCATGAGCTGAATCAATAGCTTCACCTGGTTGATTATTGAGGGAAACAGAAGGAAAGAGAAGAGCTCTTCTCTTTCTGGGTGAAGGCAATAATGATGCAATAGGAAAGGAATCAGAGGAGGGAATTTTGGAGGAAGTGAATGCAGAAGAACTGGGAAATGAAGAAGAAGAGGAGGGTAGAAGAGAGGATGAGATGTTCAAATGAAAAGCAGAAGAAACATTCAACACCATAGCCATTTTTGAATGCCACACACACCAAGTATATTAAACAAAGCAAAGGAAAGATTGTGTGAAAGTGCTTACACAAATCATTCATAAATACAAAATCAATTTGCGACTGAATCTTAATTTGAGAAATTCTTTTTAAGAAATCAACATGGTCAAAAATTCCACAAAATGAAGAACTTGCATCATTCATCCATTTCCAAAAAAATTGACATAGCTTTTAAATATCTCTCATGTCATATATGCGAGAAATGCCATCTAAAAATACAAAATTTAACTTATTACATACAATACCCAGCAGCGTACTAGTGTGAACCTAATTTTCCAGTAAAATTTATGTTAAAATAGATACATTACCGGCACCAGGATGCTGGTGCGATGCGACTGTCAGCACTAATTTTCTAGCAGAACGAACCAAGTTATATCTGCAGCAATCAACGGATTTCTTGCCCAAATCACTCTGAAAAAAAGAAAAAAGAAAAAGCAGCAGCAGCAGCAGAACTACCGTCAATTCTTTACACAACCGCTCAGGATAGGGTTAGAGCCCTTGTTTTCAATGTCATAGTGGTAATGTGAAGCCAGAAGCTGCATTATCCTGCATGTTTCATATCTCCTTCACCAACGCACACTCCGCGTTTTGATGTATTCCATTGCAGAGCAATGAAATGGTAAACCAATAAATTATTGTTGTTTTCCTGACCAAATGACAAGAAGGTGATAAATAGGATGTTCAGTTAAGTAGTCACCGTATGTCAAGATTTTACATAGAATCAAGGTACAAGAAAGATTTTCAAAATGAAAATGTGAATTGAATACTGGCTATTATAAGCAAGTGAATATCTGAAATTGAATGCTCTCACCTCCAAAACATGCAGAATCCACAATAAACAGGCCGCACGGTGGATTTGTCAATGCCATAGTCATCAACACTGCAAAAATAAAAAAATAAACCGTCACATTTTGCAGCTTTGTAATGACTAGATTGAATTGTTATTTGATATTCGTTAATCCAAAGTAATTTGACAGACCAAACGGCCATGAAATATGAAATACAAATACTTGAATAAGGATTTTCACTACATTGCAAGTTAATCGAAGTAAATTAACAATTACCTTGGTGGTATGTACATGAAAAAAAAATGTCACTGGTCAAAGCCATATCATCCATTAACACGAAGAATGTTGTTTTGCATAGAACCACTAGTAACTGATTCTCTCTGAGAATCAATCCTCCACTGGCCATCAACAATAAATTTTATCTGAAACAAAATACGATTGATCCATAGATCAGAAAATTATAAATGATGGCTAAACTGAAATGTTCAAATAGTTTTATGATGACAGACTGCATTGTAATATGTGTAGCGAAATCATTACCCTTTTCCAGGACTTCATTTCTACTTCTCATTTGCTTACCACTTCTATTATATATTTGTAAACAAAGACTGAAATTATATTCCTCAGTCCTCACCCAGTAGGTAATGGACTAGAAATTAATTCAAATAAAGGCGGAGAATAAGTGCAAATTTACGTTATTTTTCTTTTATCATTGGATTCTAAGTTATATCATTCAAACTAGTAATGTGTTTCGTGTGTGTCTAAGTGATATACGTGTGTTCCTCAAGTGCTTAAAGTGTGTCCGAATCTAAAATTTTTAAAAATAGGACATGTTTGGATGTTGTGTATGGCAGGTGGTGGAAAGTGTCCGACAAGTGTTGTGTTATGTTGGTTGGGTGTCTGACACTGTTCGACACAACACGACCCCTTCTTGGAAGTGTTGGTGTTTCTTTGGGCCCAATAATGCATATCAAACTCTTGACATGCAATCTCGTTTTACATGTGGAGGTACAAAGACACATACATAAAAAGAAATATAATGCAAACAGAGAACAAATGCAAACGGAAGACTTTAACTCAAGAATCCCCCAGCCAAAGCTCTGATACCATGTTAGATCAACACTAGCCCCAAAAGATTAAGCTATTAGAAAATGAATCCAACAATGCATATCAAGCTATCCAACACACACAAACAAACAAAATAGGAAACACACCAAATGAAGATAAGACCTCTTAGAACCAAGCCCTAATGCCATGTTAGACAACTAGTTGCTTCAAATGATTAAGTTAATAGAAAACGAGATCAACTATGTATATTAAAGCCACAAAACCCACGTCATGACCAATTATAGCCACGACATCACCTTCCACATTGACAACTATCCAAGGAAAAAGCCTAGTAAGTTGGTTTATGATATCCTGGCTGGTACACTGGTGCTGAATTTCAGAGATCACTACAAGTTGATTTTCCAGAACATTGATTGTGGGTTTGCACTTTGTTAAACTACCTTATGTTTATTGGTTACAAGCCTAAACATTGCTGTAGCATAAAGTAGTTGGTGGCAGATTTCCACACCTCATATGTCCCCGGATAAAGCCACAACACTGTTGTCCAAAGTCTAGATTTCCTGGAAAAAACATGTCATCAAAGTCAACTCTTCTGGAACAAACAGGTAAACAAATAAATGAGCAGTTTTGATTTATAAAATGAATGCATGAAATGGGAAAGTGCAGAATAAGAATGAAAGTGGACAAGTACGATGTCCTCTTGGCTCTGAGCATACATGCACAAGTGTCATATAGAGTGTCCAGTCATCATTATCATCATTCAAGAAGCCAGACCGATTACTTGAGGCAAAAGTTTGGAACCATATAGTTTTAGTATGACATCTGGCTGGCTAATTATCCAGGATCAGAGGGGACATGAAAAAGTCTCCAAATAAATGGAAGGACATAAGTATACATTAATAATAATGACATACCTAATACAAAATATAAATCAAAATCTTTTTCCAATGAGAAAATAAGAACTATAGACCACAATTATTCAACATCAAGGAAAACAGAGGGATAGGTTTACTGAAAGAAAAGAACCTTGATCCAATAGCGTCTAAGATACTTGATGATGGCTGTGGGTCCATTGTAATCCGATGATGCCAACCATTAAAGCTTCCTGCCAACTCTACAGCTTCACCATCCCCCCGGTACTGAACCTCAACCTAATAAATTCAGAAGAATTTGTTTCACTCAATTGAAGCTATCAATCCAAAGCAAAAAGTCTAGACAGAACACTAGCCACAGCATTTAGCACACAGGTGATGAAAAGCTCAACAATATATATATATATAGAGAGAGAGAGAGAGAGATGGAATAACTTATTCTAATGTAATGGCCTCCCCGTCTACCCCCGGGAAGTAGCGCAAAGGCCAAAATCGTTTTGGTTTGGTCATAATTTGTTTTAATACCTCTATCCTACCAACAGTTGAATCAATGAGCTCTCACTCAAATCAGCTTGAAAAATCTTCAACTAGAGCGGCTCTCATCAATTAGAGCAGCTCTAAGTTTGTAACTTACAAAACTTTTAAATCCAAATCTGATAATTATTTTACTTGAGTTCCAACCAGTTTTGCCTTATAAAGACTAACTGGTGTAGAACCAGTGGGGAAACAGAAAATGTTCAAAATTAGGCATCTTGGATTTTATTTAACCAAAAAGAAGCTTATTCTGGTATTGTTTTAAGAACTCTACAACCAACCTATTGCACATCATGGTTCTAACCCCTTCAAAGTAAACATCTCAAGTTGTTAAGGACTTCTAATGTCTTCTAACAGTATGAAAGTGCCCTCCCCCGGTGTGACACCCCTGTTCCGTAGTATGTTAATTGGTCCTTAACATGATGTGATTATGTATTTTGATATGATTTTGTGTTCCACTATGTGAAAATATGTGGTTTGAAATTTTATCTGTTCATCGTAGGAATATCTGTTTGAGTAGTCTGTTTTGGAAATTTAATTGAGGGCCTTATCGGCCACGGAACCCGAAATTGACTACGCCATTGTGGTTGGCATAATTTTTAGGGCCTACGGTGAAATTTAATTGAAATTTAATTCTGGCCAATTTAAACTGATTAAATTGATAAATTAAGCACCCCATTATTTTATATTAAAATATTTGTTAGTGGGGCTTGTTGTATATTTGCATTGCACTCCCCTTTAGCTCTCTTAAAACTCAAAATCTGAGTTAGACAATTGAGAGTGAGAGAGAGGCCGGCCATGGAGAGAAAAAGGGAGAGATTTGTGTAATTTGGGCTCAAGACTTGGGAATTTGAAGATCTAGCTCAAGATTTGGCTAGGGCTTGAGTGTTGAAGCTCTTAGGTAAGTGATTTCATGAACTCTTACTTGTAATTTGTAAGTTCAAGGGTTGTTTGTGATCAAGAACATGTAATGAGTTGATTTTTTGTTGAGATTGAAGTCTTAGAACTCATGCATGTAAGAAATTACTTTGAATTTGCATGTTTGAGCTTGAAACACATGATTCATGTGGAGTTTTGGGTAAAGCTCATATTGTAGTCACCATTTGTACCATCTAAGTTGAGAATGATGAGCATCTCCCACATGCATGTACAAATCATGGGAGTATAAGTCTTGAATGTTTGAATTTGGGCATGTTGATGATGGGTTTGAGATAATTTGGGACATGCATGTAGATAATTCATGTAATTGAGCTTCCTAATGTTGTAATCTGCATTAGTAGCATGTTAGCATGTGTAAATGTGTAATTTGAACCATTGCATGCAAGAAATGTAGATGGAAAACTGATTTGGAGCTCAAGAACACGATCTGGGAAACCCAGATTTTTGAGGTCCGCTCGAGCGGGGTAATGGCCGCTCGAGCGGGAAAATCGTGCTCCCAGCATTTTTTCAGAGTTGGATGCCCGCTCGAGCGGGACATTTCACGCTCGAGCGTGGATTTTTGTAGACGGACCTTCAGCTCGAGCGCATCTTTTGTGCAACCAGTACCTTGCAGGCCTTAAGGGTCCGCTCGAGCGGAGAATCTTACGCTCGAGCGGCGACCCTGTTTCCTGGAATTTTGTTCATGCATTCTGTGATTCGTTTTCCGTTCTCTTTCACTTGTAAGCACTCCTAGGCATGTGTTGAGCATTGTAAATGAGTTAATGAGATAAGAACAAAGCCTAAAGAGGAATATGTGAATTAAAGAACGGATTGAACTGTTAGTGACCCTTTTGTATTCATGAAATGTGTAGGGTCAAGCTCCAGGGCGCATCCACAAGCCGATCACTGTGAGTAATATCAATATTTGAAAACTTGTCAATGTCCAATTGCTACTCCCCTATAAATATTATGAGTTGTTAATTGGGATTGTGGACAAAAGTCTGACAAGAATAAATGAATGAATGGGCCAAAGGCCGTTTGACATGAATGAATGGGCCAAAGGCCGTTTGACATGAATGAATGGGCCGAAGGCCGTTTGACATGAATGAATGGGCCAAGGGCCGTTTGACATGAATGAATGGGCCAAGGGCCGTTTGACATGAATGAATGGGCCAAGGGCCGTTTGACATGAATGAATGGGCCAAGGGCCGTTTGACATGAATGAATGGGCCAAGGGCCGTTTGACATGAATGAATGGGCCAAGGGCCGTTTGACATGAATGAATGGGCCAAGGGCCGTTTGACATGAATGAATGGGCCAAGGGCCGTTTGACATGAATGAATGGGCCGAAGGCCGTTTGACATGAATGAATGGGCCAAGGGCCGTTTGACATGAATGAATGGGCCAAGGGCCGTTTGACATGAATGAATGGGCCAAGGGCCGTTTGACATGAATGAATGGGCCAAGGGCCGTTTGACATGAATGAATGGGCCAAGGGCCGTTTGACATGAATGAATGGGCCAAGGGCCGTTTGACATGAATGAATGGGCCAAGGGCCGTTTGACATGAATGAATGGGCCAAGGGCCGTTTGACATGAATGAATGGGCCAAAGGCCGTTTGACATGAATGGATGGGCCGAAGGCCGTTTTGCCATGAATGGAAACCCGGATGGGCCAAAGGCCAGAATGTTTGGAACTACAGTTACTTGACTTGCATTTCGTACAGTTATATATATTTTGCTGTTAAACAGAAGTATGAATTGGGCCCAAGGCCGTTTGGAGCATATTGTTCTACATATTGTTATGTAACTGTTATATTTGATATTATTCACTGGGCTATCGCTCACGCTCATTCATGTATTTGTAGGTGAGCCAAGGGAAGTCCAAACCCAGCCCCAGTGAAGTCTGCTAGGAACAACAGGAGTTTTGGGAGAGTCAGCCTTGTGCCTCGCGCATGAGACCATCCTTGCCCTTTTACTATGTACCTATGTTTTGTCTTGTTGGCAAGGACCCAGTGCATGTCTGTACATAGTCTGTTATAGGTTGACTCGTTTTGGACGATCCTGTCTGTAATGAATTTTGTGAAGCTGTACTTTTGATGTGAGTTATTAACGTATCTGAGTACGGTTTGTTTGATGTGCATATAAGCACGGCTCTATGGACAAAGTTTTTAATTGTGCTTCCGTTTGGCCCCCATTAACTCTGTTAAAATACGTTTAGAACAGTTTGAGGCCGTAGGTAATCTCATGATTACTGGCCGGTTACGTCCTTAACCCACGGGGGCGGGTTCGGGTCGTGACACCCGGTTAGCAGAAGTAACAATAAGTAATAGCCCTTTAGATCTACTTGTCTATTGGTAAAATATAGAAGTTGACAACCTGGGCTATCCAGTCAACAACCTACCATTGGCTGGATGCTTGAACTGTATCAGTTAACAAAAACATGAAAAGTTACAAGTAGAAGAGTACAGGTGGTACCTCCTCCAATCCAGAAAGGCTTTCTTCTGCAGCATGTAATTCTGCATCTTTCTCCATGATAAGTTCCTGCGCTTTGCTGATCTCTGTTTCTGCCTTAGTTTGCAAAATAGACAAAGTGTGCTGAAGGAGAGAGGGAGGGATGTTAACACAGAAAAAAATAAATGGCTGAAGGGAGGAACAAAATGATATTAACATGAAATAATCTTTCCAACAAATTATTGGACATGAAAATGCACTCTTACAAATTGTGAACTTCTCAGTGTACATTAAATACAGTTAAAAGCTGGAAGTAGAAGTATAACACTGGATCACAAATAATAAAATAGGGATATATAAAGTCAAATTAGTTGCCAAAAAGATTATTAAAAGAGAAAAAAATGTGAAAATCATAGAACCAAACTTTTCTATATGATCAAGTTATTTGTGTTTGCATGATCTCCATGTCAGTTGGGGGAAAAACAGTAGGAAAGAAGTGGGTGGTTCTAAAGGGGATTAGTATCGACCAGCAGGTGGGTAATACTTTAGGATTCAGTTTGCCTCAAAATTTGAGAGACGCAATAGATGTGTCCGAGTGGGTTATGAAGAGAATTAAGGGACTCGACAAATTTATCAGGATTTCAGGTGAGGGATTTGAGAATGATGCTTCAGAACTGATGATTGTAATTGAGGCGAGGCCAAAATTGGATCATAGTTCTGCTAGGAGTGGGAGAAGCATAGTGAGAAATGGAAGGGAGTCAAGGAGCTTGATTATTATTAACCTCTCTTTCGATCAATTTTTGGACTTCATATGGCTTTTGGACACTCATGGAAGTGTATATGGTTTTTTGTCGAGTTTTTTGTGCGTTATTCTCCTTTGTATATGGGTGGCATTCCCTTAATGCCCTCTTTTAATGAAATTTTACTTTTCTATGTAGAAAAAATGAGGGTAAAGGTAGCGGAGGGATTAGTTGAAGGTTGTCCATGTATTCTTTTTAAGACCCTGTGATTTAGTACGTTGTATGCTTCAATGGAAAGAGAAGACAGACTAAGGCCACAACCCTAACACAAACAGCCACAATCTTTTACTCAATATTAATAATCCAAAATAATACAATTCAAACCTTGGCATTTATAAGCTAAAAACTCTAATCAAAATAGGAAACCAAATCCTATTATTGTTGAAAATTTAATTCCTAATAAAATAAGGAACTAAATATTGCTAATATTCCTAATTAAACTATAAATAAAATAAATAAGCATCAATATTAAAATTAAACTTTTGAACTAAATTAAGGCCTTGTTTGGTGCAACTTATTGTAAGCTAAAAACTGATAATCAGAAAATCAGCTATAAGCAGGTCATTTAAGCTACAACAAACACCCAATAAATCTCTATGGTGTATACACATTCTGTATTTTATTTTTTTAGTCTCCATGGAGGATTGAGCTCATTTAGGAGTTTCTTCTCGGTACCTCCTCTAATCTAAGGAAAGAAAGAAAGAAATCTACGTTGCCCAAAATTAAAATGAAGGGCTTTGACCTTGAAATTTACAAACTTATGGGATAATTAGTTATTGCAGTTTTGGTTAGAGATCTAGGGGAGAGTAAAACTATGGGAGGAACAGTCTGTCAGGATATTTAATGCAACTAGAATTGTTCTTGCAATATATTTGAAATAACTAGTTTCACCTTGTTATTTCAAATCCACTCATAATAAAGTTCTCAGTTCCATCCATATATTTTACTGCAATCAAAAGTAATAAGTTTACAATCTATAAATATAAGATATGCTCTCCACAAAACTAAATTCAAATTCATTCAGTTTAAATCCATATATCCAAAACCAAATGCACAATAAATAGTAGTCAATTGTTTCTCTAACAGCATTTTAATAGTCTTTTATATCTTCAAATGCATGCAGAAAAATATATATATATATATATACACTGCTGGAACAAGAGGGGGAAGTACTAAAAACAATTTTATAATGAAATAGATTTTCAAGTTTCCAAACCTTTGCATGTATTCTGTTTTGTACCATGCCAGAAACAGAAAGCAAAGTGAATTTAGATTGAAATTACACTGAGCGATATTACATACAATGATATAATGTCATGATTACCTTTTCCTTCTCAACCTGTTCCTTCAAACGAGACAATTCCAGTTCCTTCTGATGCTAAGCAGTAAGCAGATCAAATAACAATATCAAGCATTTAATTATTCAAATAATAAATCAATTATAGATTTCTGGACATAGGAAGCCATTTAAGGTAAGTAGGCTACAAAAATTAGTACCAGCATGAACTTGAGATGATCAACTTCAGTTTGGTTTTCCATTTTTATGGTCTGTCTTACAAAAGGCAAGATACTTAAAGGTTAGGACAAGCAATTAATGAAAATCTTGATAATTAAATACAGTATGTCGTGGTGACCTCAACATCCAGATCCTCATGATCACCACTGAATAGTCGTTCACTTGAAAAATAATCATTCCTACAGATAATTCCAAAAACAAAGAAATATACTTAAATAAAATATTATTCCACATCATTCAACATCTATATATAGTACAACGAGAGAACACCAGTTTGGTGTGTACCCCTCTGTTGAAGATCTGTCAATTTCTAAATTTTCCAAAGAAAAAAAAAAAAACCCTGTTTTTTAGTAAATTTATTTGAATTGATGCTTTGTAGTCAAGAAGATACAGAAAGTGGGGAAGAGGAGAAAAACTGGGAATATAAAAAAAAAAATTCTTCTTTCACGCCATCTTCTTGGTTATCAAGCAAAGCATTTTCTAGTTCAAGAAGAATTTATTTTATTGACATCAGGCTTCCATTCCAGTCATAATGTTGACATGTCCTTGTAAGGAAACAAGAAAAAAAAAAAATTGTTATACAAAAAGTTAATTTGTAAGAAATTGGAAATTTATCTCGATCAGCTTACATTAAAAGTTGATCCTCACTTAACAGCAAGTAAAATGCCACCAGGACATTCACCATCAATTATCAAGACATGGAACTAAGTTACATGACCAAGGAAAGAAATAAAAACTGCAGATTTGGAAATTTGTGCAAATGTGGAAAGTACTATTGCTAACCTTGAGGTGTTTTTCCCTGATGTATGAAGTACAACTTGCTTCAATGGTGATACATCTTGACCAAAAGAACTCAATTCTTTTGTTACATCCTCTGACTCAACGAACTTCTTGCCATTGTTAGCGGCAATCTCATTTAAAATGCCAAAGCCATCATCTGAGCAAAAGCAGCTGCACCTACTCAACTTTAACATTTTGAAAGTACCAAGACATAACTAAATACAATTTACACAATAGTTAGGATGCATATATATTAGACTAGAAGAATAGTGGCGATGTTAAATCCGATAGTGATGGGGTACACACTAAATGTGATTCCCTTGTAATCTCTGCCAGTTGTTCTACTCTGTTTGTAAGAAATGTGCAGGTCATGTGGACAAATCTTTGTGTTCATATTTGCAAGACATTATCCTCCATGCATTAGCATTCTGCTTTAGTCTTCACTTTTTTCTGTTTTTATTTTGTTGGTAGATGAAACAAAAGGCAGGTAATCTGCTCTAATTTGCTTGCTGGCCTTCTCTTCCTTTTTTCCCTTTTCGAATTTCCCAAGCAGATGATTTCCATCAGATATTCCTCATGGTTCCCAAGCAGATGGTTTGTTGTGGACCTTATGAAAGTTAACTTTGGAAAAGCTGGTTTGAGGAACTGGTAGAGGTCCTAGAGGAATACCAAATTCAGATGTTGATACTACAGCTGGGTGGCACAAAACCTCATGATTGTTTAAAATCCTTCTAATATCAAAATCCAATAACTGCTTTTCATTTCAATGCCATTGAACCAAACAAAGTGGGATTCTAACTTAAAAACACTATGCCAAATGGATTCACCTGCAGTTTAACCTATAATTTGCAGATAAACATTATGTTTGTCATCACTTGGACTGCAATTTATACAAATTACACTATAGAATTTTGGGCTTCATGTGCTTAAAAAGCCTATTCAAACTAAATTGCCAACAAAGCCAGTTATCCCAACCCAATTGCTTGGAAACCAAGCTTTAGCTTAAACGTAACCCAAAGCTCGATTAGATTATAGACCTATCAACATAGATTATTATCATCCAAAGCGAATTATAAAAATATTTGCTAATGAATAGTGAACATTTTTTTAGATTTTATTTTGGAACTGAGTGTGTGCAATGAAAAACTTAGGAAAACAAACCCCAATTTTTTGTAATAAAAAATTGAAGTAGTTGAGAGAGACTGAGGAACAAAAAACTGGAGCAGTTGCTAAGATTTGGAAGACACGGGAGCTATTTAAAGGTGAATCTTTGACTAACAAGGCAATGACTTGGATCACATGTTGGAACCTATTCCAAGTTCCACTTTTTTTTCATTTTTTTTTTTTCTTTCAGAAGCTAATATTTGGAAACCATAGAGCACACAACCACCACTTAGTTTTTACTTGCTGTGTATAACTGCAGCCAGTGGTCCACCAATCAACAAGTACAACATTGCAATCATTGAATTGTCACTCTAAATCCTCAAACATTCACAAAGTACACATTGGAACTTCAACATTACAATTGCAGTAGCATGGCTATATTATTCCACATCATTCAACATCTATATATAGTACAACGAGAGAACACCAGTTTGGTGTGTACCCCTCTGTTGAAGATCTGTCAATTTCTAAATTTTCCAAAGAAAAAAAAAAAAACCCTGTTTTTTAGTAAATTTATTTGAATTGATGCTTTTGTAAAGGGTACTACAAGCATTTTGTAATCAACTATAAATTTAAAAGGATGAGAGAAAGAAATTAGATTCCATAAAAAATACAAATTAAAAAAAAAACTCTGTACTCTTACAGTGCCGCACACGCATAGTGTGTGCTTTCCCTATAGTAATAATAACAAAAATAAAAGAATGATTCTGACCCTACAAATTTGGACATGTGCCAAAACCCCTTTGATCAGCCAATATAGAGAACAACAAATATTGGCTTGCAAGAGGTCCTTTGTATCTTCTGGTATGACGCAACACTAACCCATGTTTGTAGGATATGAAAGGTGTGTCTAAGAATGTTAGTTCAGAAAAACAATTATTGATAAGCAGACGTAAAACCGAAATTTGTCAAGGTACCTTCCATTGCATCTAATTTTCCATTCTGGATAAACTTTGCCACCTTCTCCTGCAAGGATGAATTGGTGGAAGATTCTATAGCCATGCAACTTTTGCTATCAGAGCTAAAAGCATAATCATTATTTTCTCCATTTGCACTATTTAAATCATTTTGCTTGACAGAAACTTCACTCGATGAGGAAGCATCTTCAGTCATATCCCCCACCCTTTCACCTGGACCTGCTAATAATGTATGAGGCCATCAATGAATAACTTATAATTAAATCATTTCAAAATAAGAATTGATAGCCAAAAACTGAGAAACAAATACTAACCTGTTGATTCATGTTCACATTTACCACTTATATCCTGTTTTTCAACCAAGACTTCCTCTGGATCAGACCCCTTTCCGTCAGACTTTGTTGAGATTGCAAGAAGCTCCTTGATAAGTTTATATCCCCTCCGTCTAATAATGTTTGCCAGGTCTTGCCTAAAGAATTTTGGGAAGAAAAAATTCACAAATCAAACTTAAAAGATATTTCTTTAATTAAAAAATTACAATCCATGTTGTCAATATCGTATGATTCACAAGACTAGAGAAATCGATACATGTCACTAAGGCCTCGTTTGTTAACGTTTTCAGTTTCTAGTTTACAAAAAACTTGTTTGGTGTACAAAAATATTTTGAAAACAAATAAAAATAAAAATAGAGAAATATATTTGATGAGTTGCTGGAGTTGGTGGATGGAGATAGAGGATGGATGGATGTGGTGATCAATAGTGGCGCGTGGCCGGAGGTGTCCGCCGGAGTTAGTGATTAGATGTCACCGGAGTTCACGAGGTGGTTGGAAGGATGCCAAAAGGTGGCTAAAGACTACGACGGTGACTACCGACCCACCGGAGAGTCGCTGGGGGTTGGCTGGAGCTCGCTACCCACACGCAGTGGGTGGTGGTTGTCAGTGGCCAGTGGCAATGGCGGCCAAAGGTGGTGGGTGAAAGGAGAAAATGAAAACTTGGTTTAAAAACAAGTGAAAACACATTTTTGTGTTTTCAAAAATTTTGAAAATTTTGAAATCAAATTTATTTATTTTTTTGAAAATGAAAACAATATACCAAATAAGTTTTTCTTTTTACTTTCCAAAAAAAAAAAAAAAAAGTTAACAAAAGACGTTTAATGTATCTTACGTATTAATGATACATGATATATACGTGATGCAATACATACAATACATGACTAGTTGAATTTTCTTTAGCATTTGTTGAGAAAAGTAATTAAACACATTTTTATGAAAATTAATTTTTTTAAAAGGTTCATTTACTCATCAAAAAGACATTGCTAGAAATGGGAACATTTCTTTGTTTTTGCCTACTTTATTCGCAAATATCTGCTTTGCCCGGTATCTAAGTAACATAGACACATTAAAATTTTATGTCTTTACAAATTATTATATGCCATATATATAAATAGTTTATTGAAGATAATGAAAAATATGTAACATAACACTAACTATATATATTTTTTAAAAAACTATATATTTCATAACTTACACATCGAGATATTATTCACGTAACAATTATATTCTAAATAAAGTAAGGAAAAACAAAAAAAAAAAAAAAACTTAGAACGTTGTAATATACGTGATCTATTCATCTAATAAATGTTTCAAAATATATTTCAAGTGTATAAGTTGAGCTATGAATAATATAGAACATTGTTATCATGAAGGGATTCATTATATAGGATGTATTCAAATGGTTCAAAAAATATATCTGAAGTGTCGGTGAAGTGTCCAATATTATGAATTTAACTTTTTTTAATTAAGACACGTTAAAAGAAGTGTCGGATATGCTTTAGAAGCATCCAAAGAGTATGTCGAACATTACATGCTTCCTCCGCAGAACTGTCCGTGCTTCTTAGCCTAGAATTAACTACCAAGTATCTTATGCCACTGACAAGCTCACTTACATGAGAAGAAGCTTCAAGTTTTATATTATTGAGAAAATATTTGAGTAAAAGTAGTAAATTGAATATCAAAACCTAAATACAACTTAATTTTGTTGTTGATAAAAATATATATCGCCTTTTCCAAACTCATAGTCAAGGTTGTCAAAATAGGGATCCTAGGCATCGTGAGAGGGTCTCGTGGATCGAATCGTAGGATCTGATAGAGGATCGTAAGATCCTACTTTCTATTAAAAATAAGGTAAAAAATACAAATTAGAATAATACATATTAAAAATAAGGTGAAAAATCACAAAATCAGCGATCCTGCGTACGATCCTACTGTGATCCTAAAGAATCCCAAACAGATTTATAATTTTACACTCAAACTGCCCTAACTGAACCACACACACCCCTACAGGAAGTGAGATAAGTCATCTTAGGATTTTCAAAGAATATTAATCTACCCATATAATTAATTTCCTTTATTGACAAAACAAATGTGAAACATGATGAGATTAGGAAACAATATCTAAATCTCTCATGTATTTTAGTCCAGTTTAGTAAACTACTTGTGATTGTCTATTTTCCTTTGTCTGACTTAATTTAATTTTTGTATACTTCAATTCACAAAATTACAAGATAACTAAAAAAAAATAATTAAAAGACCAAATTAGAACCAGAAAATACAAAAACAAAATCAAAACCTTCCATGTAGAACGGGAAAGCTCCTTCATAGAGGGAACATGGCCGTCCGGAAACCCGGCCACAGATAAGAATTCCCGGATATCGTTGCAGAGATCTGCATTGCTCCTCACCTTCCTACTGGCCCTATTGTCACCACAAAATTTCTAACTCCAGTAAGAACAACAAACAATAAGCAAAAATTCAATTATACATATACAACTACCAATTTGAGTAATAGAAAAGAAAAGAACCTGTGTTTCTTGATTGAAGAAGCAAAAATTGTGGGGTTGCTGTGATCGTGACGGTGGATGTGGTGGAGAGTGTGATCTGTGTGGAGAGAATGAAGAGGAAAGAGTTTATGGGAAGAGGGAGAAAAGAAGCTTGGGAAGTGAAACAGTGATGCCATTGGAGAGTAGACTATGAAGCATTGAGAGGTTTGGATTTGGGTTCTTCGAATGATGAAGATTGTTTCGGAGAATGATGTTTCAACTGGAAAATGATTTTCAACTTGCTACTGTTGAAAATTAGGACAAATTGTAATTTACCTCTTCGATTATGAGATATTATCACTTTGGTCCCTTCTAACTAAAGTTTGTTACATTTTACTCCGTTGATCTTTCTGATTTGTTTCAATATCAACCTTTTTATTAACATTTCATGAAAGATGACGGAAAAATAACATGCAAGCCGCCTATACCAATTTTATAATTAAAATACTCATTCAAAAGTTAATTTATTTACATATGTGTAGGATCTTTCATATGAAGAAATATGTTAGGAATTTTTTTTTTTTCTTTTGGTAATCAATAGATGTATTTACACTACAAAAATTACAATTTAACAATCATAGTTTTAACGGATATATAAGTCTAACAATTCAATCCAACAAAAAATCCTATAATTTGAAAGAATATATCAGTCCAGGGATTAACCTAAGAAGAGCCCATAGAGAGAGAAAAAAAATTTAATATAAACAATATTACAAAGTCCCATAATATAAGAAAAATTAACTAAGCCATTCGGTCTAGTGATTGTGTAGCACCCTTTGTGGTCTGAAATTTCGAGTTCAACTCTTATAAAGAGGAGTTTGATATATTTTGTGGTGATTTGTTTATTTCTCCCTTATTATGAGTATCATATGTTATTATTAATGGTTGCTGTGTTTGGCTTGATGGGCTTGGTGGATTAATTTTTAAACTTTGTTGACTTTCTAACTATTATGGATTAGTAGTCTACTTGATCATGTAAATATTTCTCATTGTATAATTACTCTTCTATCTATTGAAATATATAGGGTAAATTACAAATATAATCTCTAAAATTTACTTAAAATACGGATTGCCCTTGTAATTTTAAAAATTATAAATACTCTCTTGTCAGAATTTTTTACTTAATAGAATTAATGCAAAAATGAAATTTCTAACTATGCTTCTATACAATAATAAAATTATCCGAATTATTAATTGAAATATATTTCAGGTATCATTAAAAACAGTTAATTGTCTTGATAATTTTTTGACAAAAGAGATAATTTGTTGCAATTAGAAATTTGAAGAGGTGGGATATAACTTTCATAACCATAAGGGATAATGCATATTTTGAGCAAATATCAAGGATGTATTTATAAATTACCTAAATATAAATGTATGAAAAATTATCAATATTTGCATTAGTTAGTATTAAACCCCTAACCTTTTTGGCAAGTGGGTTTGCAGGTTTTTTTGACTATTTTAGCCATAAAAAACAAAATAAGCTATTTTAGCCATAACAAACAAAACATCACATCCAACCCATAATCATTACATTCTTCTCTCACAAAAAAACTCAAAAAAGCCAAAAAGTCAAAAAGTCCTTCCCAAACCAAGCTTTTAAGCCCAGGCTAAAATAGCCAAAAAAGTCAAAAAAATCAAAAAACCAACCCACTTCCCAAACGGAGGCAAATAAAAATATAAAAGAATGGCTAACTGAGCTATTCTGTATTACATAGACATAAAGTTGCCGTTTAACAAAATAATCTTTAGTTAACATTTTGGAATTGGAATTTTTTTAGCTTAAGATTAAAAAGTTTATTTGGCAAATTTTTTTTAAGTTTTTTGACTTCTGTTAGAGAAAAAATTAAATAATTATAATTTGAATGTGATATTTTGTTTTATTAACTTATTTAACATATTTTATTCTTTATATTTTTTTTAGTCTCAACTAGGATAGCCAAACGAAACCAAAATATCATGTGACTATGTGTACCTCCAACGATATTTTATTATTTATCCATCATTATAATTATTTAATCCATTACTATTGGTTAATCACACAATCAGTTTTTAAACATTTTCTATTAAAAATACTTTAGTTGACAACCCCTTTTTTCTTTATTTGTTATTAATATTCGGATTTTAAACTTTAATTTCATTTTATTTTTACATGTCTTTTTAATTTGGAAATGAAAAACTCATTTTAGGGCAATATTAGACACAGACAAAAAAACATGTGTATGCATTAGGCCCAACCCTAGGCAAATAATGACACCAAAATTTTGTGCCATCTCAATCAAACAATGAACATATAGATAAATCATACTTTTCTCTTAGTTGTACCTGCTAAAATTTTGAATGAGAACTTTTTAACAAAATTTAAGATGGTGTAGTTGTACAAAATAATCTTTTCGTATAATCTTATTAATTAAATTTACACTCCTCCAAACGTCGTCGCTTTACTTCTTGAAAACACAAATGTGAGCTAGTCGGCGGGTGTGTGCTGGATACCTCTCCGATGCCTAAGTCAGCAAATAGACAATAAACAAAAAGCTCTGTCTTTTTTAGAGTAGAAATCGTGATATCTGTACATAAGTTCTACTATGAGCTTTTATAGTTTCTGCCTGGCACATTCCTAGTAGGACTTCAACTCTCTTTAGTAGAGTCCTCCTAAGAATCACAAAGATAATGCCTATCTTTTTACACCATCCTCACCGCTTAACCAAGTGAGATGGTTCTACCACGGTCTGGTAGCAAAACAACCAAGCTAACACTACCACGATTCACAACAGATTTAACCGCGCTCACTTAGCTTGGTTCTGCCTTGTCCTCATCCAGCTCGGCTCTCTTCTACTTATATCTCAGTTCATAGCACAAAGACCAGGCTACTGGCACACAACCTTGACCAAACTGACGGGATCAAGGACCAGGCTAAGCAAGCCATCACCTCAGCCTATAGCTCGGCCTATTTCCCATCTGGTCCCAGTTCGGCCCATGTTCAAACATAAATTACTCTCTCAATTGCCTCTTAATTCCATCTGCAACACATGATTTGGGATTATTCTTCTCTAGTTGAGCCAAAACATACAAGCCAACCGAACTAAAATAAGTAATTCCACCGGGATTAAAATATTCAGCCCCACCGAGTTGGGTTAGCTCGGTCTTCAGCTCTGTACCTGCCACAACCCGTCGCTTCACGTACCTAACACTATGTCCTGTCTGTGACACATGGCACAAGTTTATTGATTCTTCAAACTGCGATAGCCGTCCCACGTTTATCAAAAAACATTTGAAAAGTCTCGCCGTTTTTATGCCTATTCAAAAGCCATTTTCTAAATTTCACCCCCACTATTCATCTTCTTCTCTTCTTGTGCTTTTGAGACCTGCTCCAGCTTCTGCGGTCCAGTCCCTCTCATTTTACTTGCTTTCTCGCTGGCTGGGTTTTGTTCTTACACTTAAACTCGTAAGTTTGTTCAATACCTCTTTCTAATGTTCTTATGTACTCATTTATGTACTTTCATTTTTAATTTACCATATATATGCATGTGTATCCATAACTGAGCATTTAAGCAAATACCATCACCTAAAAAACCACACGCCTGCGCCCAAAAAACTCACAATCCAGATTTTGAACCAACGTCAAACATGATTTTTGATCCAAAATCGTGTTATGACCGAGCTACTAACCTGTTTGCAACCTTCAAGGTTGTATTAGACCGAACTAGGACGCACTGATCACCATCCGTGCTATAAAACAATGAGTTTAGCCTTCGCTATATGACCGAACTATGAAATGGTCCGTAACCATTCGCAGTCGAGCTAGGCTTTCTTTTAAATTGCACTTTTACTTAGCCCGGTCCAGTTGTCTGGGCATAACACTTCTTTATTTCCACTTTGCAGACTTGACTAGGTTGGCCAGGCACACCTTTACATCTTGCCCCTAGACAGCTTTGCTCAATCGAGCCAACCAAAGCCTCAGCTGCGCCGATCAAGGCCACTGTGAACATACCAACAATTTTATAAGTTAACATAGGTAAATACCAGCTCCTAGTGAATTCGCCTGGAGCCATGGCCGAATTCCACCGAGACTACTAAATTCCTAATGGCGTCCATCTCTCTCTAGCTGAGCTAGACACAACACCTTGGGGTAAATCGAGCTTCGTCCCTTTCACCGTGATATTTATCGTAGAAGCCGGGTTTCGGTTCCCTGCTCAACTCATATGCGAATTCCTCAGGCAAACAAAATTATGCCCAACCTAGCTCTCCACCAATACCTATAGAATAATAAATGGCATAGCCGAGCTAAACTGCTGGCTGGGCCTCAACCTTGGATTGGCCGAGCTATTCCATCAATATTCATTTGGTCAAAATGACGACGGTTGTGCAACAACCCTCATTTTAACTTAGTCATACTTGCATACATTTATGTATAATCTTGTTTTGATATGTGCATTTGCAAATCTTGTCTTGTTTTGCTCGAATGATGCTTGCCTGCTTTGTTCTTGCCTGGTGTGTTGCCGAGGTTATCTTGATCCTAGACACCTTGGAACCTTTCCACACTTAGAACTATCTTGGAACCCCATCGGTTGACCTCCATCTTTACCCTGGCATATTGGCCAAGATGTCACCATCTAGGCCGAGGTGCGCGTCGCCTAGGCCGAGATGTGCATCATCTAGGCCGAGATGTTAATATCTAGGCGTTCTAGATCCTTGATCCTTGCATTAGTGATTTTGTTCCTGGAATGGTATGACCTAGACCGAGATGTGGCACATCTAGGCCAAGGTGTGGCACAGCTTAGTCAAGTGTTGACCTTCCAAGCCGATGTCCTTGCCACTTGCTTGCCGGAGTCTTGTCGTTACTTGCCGGAGTGCTCTTACCGTCTAGCTTGTTGAACACACTTTGTCATGATCTTGTCTTGTCAAGTCAGTTACCTTTTTGAGTAGAGCCAATCAACCGATGCCACGTGTCCCGGCAGAGGGATTAAGTCAGTGACTGTCAAGAGAAACATATCATTTTTGTATCAAATCTTGCTTTTAGAGAGAGGGACTCTAGGAAGAAGGAAGTGAAGCCTTTGGGTAAGAGAGTGAGCTTCCAAGCTTGATCATTGGAGCTTGAACCGTTAGATTCGAGTTTTGAGGTTAGAATCTTAACCTACTCTTGTTGTTCTTATTGATCATCTAGCTGCATTGCACGATCAAACCCGTTCTGCACGTCATGCATTGATTTAAAGTTGGTTTTAGAAAGAGAAAATGGTTTTCATGTGTTCTTGAAGAAAAGCCTCGTTTGATCCGAAAGTTTGCATTAAGGCTCATGTTTTTGTGTTTGTTTTGATAAGATCCTTGAGTATGGGTACCCAAGTCCATGTTTTTGAATTCATAGCATAAAGTCTCAGCTTTTGTAATAGCAAGTTTTGATCGTTGCATTCATCTTCCTCATGTTCATGTTCTTCAAGTTCTTCATGCTCATGTTCTTCATGTTTATCAAGAGGGAAACCCAGATTGTTCCCGACTTCGCTTTTGAATGTTGCCGTCAGGACCACACCTCGGCGAGAAGGTGTGGGACCTCGGCCAAGACCTGGTGGTTGCCCAACATGTTTTCCTGAGATAAGAAACTGTGTTTTATTTCGATTTGACTTAGTCTTTGAAGAATGTCGAGGTCATTTGCATGCATGCAAGACTTGTTTTGAGAAGTGCATTCAATAGACTTTGCCATGTGTTTGTAGGACTTGGACTTGCCTTGACCCCGACGTTTGCAGAACTATGTGAGTGGTATTTTTAATAAAGCTATGTTATATGTTTTGATAAAGACTTTGCTTTGCTTTGTTTTGAAAGTATTTGTTAAGCATGAATAATTGTCCCTATTTTGTACATCAAGCATTATCTTGTTTTGATGACCTTCTCGGAAAGTCCTTAGTGCCAGGGGACTATAATGCAACTGCACATCTTGTTTCGAAAGTCCCTTGTGCTGGAGGACTCTAAACTTTCGCAGCGCATCTTGTTTTGAAAGTCCCTTGTGCTGGAGGACTCTAAACTTTCGCAGCACATCTTGTCTTGAAAGTCCCTTGTGCTGGAGGACTCTAAACTTTCGCAGTACTCTCGTGTTAAAGGGCTACGGGCCTTTGTAACATAGGTCCCTTGTACTAGAGGACTCTAAACTTTGGTAGCACCCTTGTTTGAGATATCTCCCTTGCTTTGTCTTGTTTTGCCACTGACGGTTTACCGCATGGATATGTTAGCCGGAATGTTATCATTTGTAATATGTTGATGCTAGTAAGCATCCCTTGAAGCTTTGAAGATTTGTTAGATGGACGAGATCCATCCCTTGTTATATAAAGTTTTGACTTGTATTGTTTTGAAAGACTTCGGCTATTATTCATGCAAACCCTTTATTATTTATACCATTCACTGAGTATCCAAGCTCACCCTCTCTATATATATGTAGGTGATGAGCAAGAGGGTGTTGACGCCTAGATGTGATTCGCGAGCTTGTTTTGGATTTTTGATTATGTCAGCTTGACTTGTATTTATGTCGGCAGTCTTGAAAATTATGCTTCTCGATTTGTAATACTTGTATTTTGCACACGTCGGCTTGAGAAGACTTTTGATCAAGATGTAAATTGTACTTTGCTTCATTTGTAATTAAGTTGTAACCCATATGAAGATGGTTGTTATTCCACTTGACATACGCACAGCTCTTATGGACTAATCTGGTTTGTATGTATCGCTTCTGTACTTGTGAGCCCCATATATTTATACTCTGTTGTGTGTGGATTTTGAGAGTTGGCCTTTGGTAATCTCAGATTACTGGCCATCACGGCACCAAACTACTAGGGGCGGTTTGGGGTCGTGACAGGTTGGGTGTACTATTTAAAAGTAAGAAGAAGCCAAGAAAAAATTATAAAAGACACACTGGATAAAGACTTAAATGACGACGACTTCCTCTGGGTTTCTGGAAATTTTGAAGACCAAGAAGCCCAGATACCGGGCTACAATATAAACTGGAATAAACGAACTGTTGGTAAGAATGCTCTGGTTCAATTTTAGTTTGCTGATCCAGCTTACTCATTGTGCTAACCCTTCTTTCTTTTATGCAGACCTAAATCAGCTTAAATCACATTACCCATACGCCAACCAAGACACTCTTCGTGTCGCACTCTGATACCGTCATCGTGGTTGGGCCGAGCTGCTTAACTTCGAACCGTTCTACCGATATAGCGGAAGGAGAAATATGAGGGTGACTGACTTTCTCCTTAAACCATCACCTAAACCAGATCCCACTCTTCCCCAAATCAACCTGATCCCCCCTAACAAAAGAATAAGAAATGGCAAAGAAGAGAGTTGTACGAGCGCTTATCACTGAGTAGGCCCCTAGTGAAGCGCAAACCGGGCTGGAGTCGTCTGGCCAACACTGCAAAACTATGGTCGCCCTTCCAACTACCAAGGCCTCCACATCTCGGCCGAACAAGCGTACACGAACTGCTTCAACCGAGCCGCAACGCTTGGTTGATGAGGAGGACACCGTGCTTCCTGAAACCACGCTGCCGAGCCCTGAGCCCGTGCAATTTGACCGAGCAAGCCCATCAGAATGGGCACCAAAAATAACTTACAAAAATCATGCTATATCCATCACAGACTCGGTGGTTGCTGAAAAGGACCACACGCTTGCTTTTAACCTGGCTAAAAGCGTGTGTCTGCCACCAGACATGGAGCACCATGACCACTTAACCGAGCTAAAGGCCATCCGCTCGGCCACTAAGTCAATGGTGTTTGTGAGTGCTCCCCTCTATTTGTTTTTCATTTTACACAATCTGTTTGCTCGGTTTTAACATAATCCCTACCTCTCCTTTCTGCAGGCCATGCAGAAAAACCATATTGATCACAAGCATGTGCTAGAGCTTCGTAAGACTGCGCGGTCGGCCGTGGCGAATGCCAGCGACAAGTCGGCCGAGCTACATGAAGCCAAGCAAAGAATGACCGAGCTCGAATCTGAAAACGTACGGCTCACCGTGCTGGTCAACGCGGTAGAAGTGGAAAAGCAAAAGGTGCTAGCCGAAAGGAAAGACCGTTATCTGCGTGAACTGGCCAAGCTCGAAAAGAAGAAAGATGCTGAGATCACCGAGCTAAAAAAGAAAATGGAAAACGCTGAAGACCGTGGCTATAAAGAAGGGGAGGCCACCTATGTCTTGCAGTGTGAAGCTGCGAAGGACATCTTTTTCAAATGTGGATGGAAGGCAGCTGTTACGAAGCTCAGTCAGGGGCAAGAAACTGAGGTCTTCCAGAACTCTCCCGCTCACTTCATTCCAAGTTACATGGCGGACTACGCCAACGCCATTCAATAGAAATTTCTCCAAGAGGGGGAGGAGGATGAAGGATCCCCTGATCCAGACAATGCCCCACCTGCAATCAATGATCACGG